AGTTTTTAGAGAACCTCAGGCATAAATGGATTAAGTACTGCTCATAGCTCTTTAGATTTCCTGTCACTTGTAAGAAGCACTCACTCTAAAGGAGGCTGCCTAAGACATCCATCAGTGGAGAAATATTCTTAGGTGCCATAAAGCATTCAGTCATATGCACAAACTTTTGGTAACTTTATTTCTGTACCACGTGTTTCCAGGGTGTAAAAGTTCATTTAAAACAAACACACGCGTAGCATTCTGTAGTGTAAAATATTTAGATGTACACAATACTTGTAACTGGAGAAATTGTACAATGAAATAATCAAAACTATCTTTAGTTCTGCAATTGAAATTAAGTTGGTCAAGCCTAAATACCTGGGTGGGTCAGTCAGTTAAGTGTCTGCCTTTGGCTCAGGTCATGATCCCTGGGTCCGGGGATTGAGTCCATGTGGGCTCCCTGTCAGTCCCTTGGCTCAGGTCATGATCCCTGGGTCCTGATCTTATGCTGCACATGTGGCTCCCTGCTCAGTCAGGAACCTGCTTCTCCCTCTGCACCTCCCCACCACTCGCATGCATCCAGGAGTTCATAGGCTCCTTCTCTCAAATAAATAAATAAAATCTTAAAAAAAAAAAGAAATTAGGTTGGTCAGTTCTATCAGCTACTTGCTTTTATTTATTTATTTTTTAAGATTTTATTTGTTTATTCATGAGAGACACACACAGAGAGAGAGGCAGAGACACAGGCAGACAGAGAAGCAGGCTCCATGCAGTGAGGCCGACGTGGGGCTCCATCTCAGCTCTCCAGGATCACACCCTGGGCTGAAGGGGGCGCTAAACCGCTGAGCCACCCAGGCTGCCCAGCCACTTGCTTTTATATAATAGGAACTGAACTCAAAATATCCTAACTCTTTGCTTAATTTTTTTCATATTATATATATGACTTAAAATACTAATATTATAAAACAACTCACAAATAATGTAGAAAAGAGCCCAGTAGAGCAAGACTCAAATTGTATATGTATTAAAAGGTAAACTGAGGCATACTAAAATTTCTAAGAGTGTATTTGAATAAGCATCAATATGAATCAGAGTTAAACCCATAGGGGTTAGGGGTCACTCTCCACAAACAGGAGCTAGGGAAACGGCTTTTATAGAGCAGATGTGCAAGCAAAGCAAGGAAATTATTTGATTGTAGCTTAAGTGGGTGTCTTATTTGGGAAAGCCTGGTTGGGCTTCTTGTGATTGATTCTACGTAGGTTTTGTTTTTTTGTTTAACGTTGGAGCATTTATAGGAATTTACCATAGTTTAGGTTTCAGTTTGCTTAAGTAGTCTTGCAAAGGCATTAAAGCTGCCTACATCTAATGCCATCTTTGTTTAATTATTATAACACATACTTCTGTGGGGGAGAGTATTTTACACCCGTATCTGCTCTTACTGCCTGGATGAATAGAACAGAGAGAGCTTGTTATACGGTCATTTTATGAATCTTTTTTTTAGACCAAGGAGTAGATAGATGAATTAATATGGGATGCATAGAAAAAAACTTGGCCACATAAAGTGTCTGGCTCAGGGAAAGCTTTTGGTTAGGCAAGAATCGGTTGTCTTCTGAGGGGTTGTCAGAAAGACCGTTTGTTCTAAGAAGGTTAATAATGTTGGATATGTTATGGGAAGGTCCACGTGGCCCCTGGAGGAAACAAGAACTAGACTTGGAAAAACAAAGTTTACTGTATTCGCAGGACTCAATAAAGAAGTAACCCTGTGCCACTCAGGGCCACAGAGGAGGTGACAAGTTTTGGTCAAGTGACAGAAGTCAGGGAAGGGAAAGCCTGAGCCAGAGCCTTTACTGGGTTTTCTGTGGGAGAGACAAGGAAGGGCAGAGTAAAGAGTTGGGAATGAGCTAGTTGGAGTAACTCCTGCAGCCTTTAGACTACAGAGGTGGTCTTTTAGATCTTATACCAATTTTGATTTTATATTCTTAAGTAGCCAGATTCAAATTTAAAAATCTAATTTCAGTGTGACTTTCAGTGTTTTTGGATATGACAAAATAAATCTAAATGTTGATCTGTTTTAACTATTTTGGTATCCAAATCTAATTCTGATTTCTCTTTTAAAAATTAAAGAGAGAAGAAACACTACATAGACCATTGAATATCACAAATTTAACCCAGAAAATGATGCACCATTTTGTTAGAATCTTTATGCAGTATCTTGGAGAAGAACCACATTTCTCATTCTCTGTGTATATTTTGTCATTTCCTCATCCCTTGGTTCAAATGACCCTTGTTCAGTGAATGTATGTTATATTTTTCCCATTCCTGACCCTTCCTTCTTTATAAATATTTTTCTGCCAAACCCAACATATTTTTAAATAAATATATGAAATGATTTCAGATTTTTTTATCACAAGAGGCCATTTTTGACATTTTAATTAAATCTCATTTTGGGAGAATTGATTGTAATGAGCTTGGTTAATACTTTTTATTAGCGTGAAGAGGTATAGTGTGACAGTGTTAAAATGTAATTATTCAAACAGAATTTATTGAGAATATAGCTCTGTACTTCCAATATGGGAGAGTAGAGGATGCAGTTAGATCATAATTACATACATTTCCTGAGAAATAAGATCAGTTCTTATTAGAAAATTCTCTAAAATCGTAAAAAAAAAAAAAAGGAAAATTTTCTAAAAACAGAATAATCCTTAGCTGAGTACCTCAGAGGCTCTCTAATGGGTTAAATCCTTAGAATTTTGGATACTGATTTTGGTAGTTCATAGACTTTATTATTTGCATCTTGTTTCACTGCTTATATTCTAAATGGTTAATTTGCCTTTAAAATGAGCTGTGGGTAACCCTGGTGGCTCAGCTGTTTAGTGCCGCCTTCGGTCCAGGTCCAGGTCGTGATCCTGGGGACGCGGGATCAAGTCCCATGTCGGGCTCCCTGTGAGGAGCCTGCTTTTCCCTCTGCCTGTGTCTCTGCCTCTCTCTCTGTGTGTCTCTCATGAATAAATAAAATATTATATTTATAATGAGCTATGATAGTGCTGGTATGCCTTAAATTCAGTGTAAGAGATAAGACTCGTGATCACTAAGATGGAAAACATTGAGATGGGTAACTGCATGCATCTTCGTGAGATTATTGGATAACTACTGTGTTTATCAGCGGTGTTTTGCAAGATTATACCCAAAATTCCAAGGGAACTTAGTATTTCTCCTGGAAAATATGCTCTGAATTTCAAGGTAGCAACTTATAAACAAAATTTTTAGATGCAGTTTGTTTTTAAGGTTGCTTGACAACATAAATTTATAGAAATATACAGTAGATATTGGAAGTGGTTGATGTCATAACTGTCCTGTAAACTGAAGAAAGTAGCCATTCTATTTGAAACCGCTAATTGAAATTCAACCAGTCTTGATTAAGTGACTCTCTACAGCCAATTAAAGTAAGAAACTGCAAACAGGATGTGTTAAATAATCTTATTATAAATCACTGAAGTATGGTATTAGGAAATAAAATACTTAATCACTATAGAAAACAGTTTATTATTTCCATTTTACTTTGGTAAAAATGAGAAACTGTGATGACTAACATGTTTTCCCAAAAAGGCTATAAATTGACTAGAATGTTTTTTCAAATCTGTTGAAAATTATCACTATTACTATGCAAATAAAATACAATTACACTTTGAAATTATAATTTGGAATTACCCGTATTAGATGTGTAAATACTGACAATGCCAATTTCTTTCGATACTTAAAGATTTTTATTAAAATTAAAAAAAAAAGGATAAGCAGAATTTTTCAATGCAAATAAATGGAATGCTCAATGTCAACATGTAGAAGTGAAGATAATCCAATGATGAAGCTCAGGATAAAAGCTAAAATGTTTAAAATGCTTATAGAGTGCTTTATTTTTTTTTTAAGATTTTATTTATTCATGAGAGACACAGAGAGAGACACACAGGCAGAGGGAAAAGTAGGGGAACCCGACATGGGACTTGATTCTAGGACCTGGGATCACAACCTGAGTCAAAGGCAGACGCTCAACCACTGAGCCACCCAGGCGTCCCTAGAGTGCTTTAAAATGCTTATTTTTGTCCTTTTTCTTTCTGTCCTGTTACCTATGTGCTTCCCGTGCCCATTCATACTGTTCCTAAGATATATCTCTATACTCCTGACTAAGGGTATTTGAACTGTTTCCTCTTGGCGAGGTTCATTCACTCTCTCACTGCCATGACATTGCTTAAATGTCACCACCTCAGTAAGGCTTTTTCTGGGCACCCTATTTAAAATTGCAACCCTCTTTTCCATCTCCCTGCCTTAATTTTTCCCATTGTATTTTCTACCATATTTTTCAGTTTACTCATTTACAATTTTTATTGTCTCTCCTCACTCTAAGCTTCACAAAAGCAGGGTTCAGCTAGTCACTGCTGTATTCCCAGAGTCTAGAATAGTGCCTCATAAATATTTCTTGAATAAGTCTGTGGCCTTATTTATGTCTGTTTTCTGTCAGACATGTAAATATTTAATTGAATACTGCTAAATATATCTCAATTTGTGGCAAATTGGATATGAAAGCAGGTGGGTAACCACAGTGTATTTGTCATCAGTCTGTTTATTTTGATCATATAATGGATGTTATTTTACATTCTTACAGTGTACCAAGAACTATTCACATTGCTTTACATCTATTAAGTAACTTATGCCTTGTAACAACCATAGGAAACATGTACTATTATTAGCACCATTTTACAGTTTAGGAAACAAGAGGTGAAATTAAGTAGCTCTTGATCTAATATGTAGGAAAGCAAGCTTCATACCAGGATAGTTGGTATGTCCAGAACCTACACTTTTATCCAGAGGTCCATGGTTAAAATCCTGCTGCATTGGTGCTTTGCATTGCTTCATTTGTATCCTTTCTTTTTATATTTCTTTGCTAAAATAGAAAATTTTGGAAGTAATCATATCTCTTTAAACCACTGTTGTTTTACAATCATTTAATTTTTTTTTTCTTCTTGCAGTGGGATGCTATCACTGAAATGGATGAACACAATAGGCCTATTCACACGTACCAGGTCTGCAATGTAATGGAACCAAACCAAAACAACTGGCTTCGAACAAACTGGATCTCCCGTGATGCAGCACAGAAAATTTATGTGGAAATGAAGTTTACATTGAGGGATTGTAACAGCATTCCCTGGGTTTTGGGAACTTGCAAAGAAACATTTAATCTGTATTATGTGGAATCAGATGAGTCCCATGGAATCAAATTCAAGCCAAGCCAATATACAAAGATTGACACAATTGCTGCTGATGAAAGCTTTACCCAGATGGATTTGGGTGATCGTATCCTGAAACTTAACACAGAAATTCGTGAGGTGGGGCCTATAGAAAGGAAAGGATTTTATCTGGCTTTCCAAGACATTGGGGCATGCATTGCCCTGGTCTCAGTTCGTGTTTTCTACAAAAAGTGCCCCTTCACTGTTCGTAACTTGGCTATGTTTCCTGACACCATCCCAAGGGTTGATTCTTCTTCTTTGGTTGAAGTAAGGGGCTCTTGTGTGAAGAGTGCAGAAGAGCGTGATACTCCTAAACTCTATTGTGGAGCTGATGGAGATTGGCTGGTTCCTCTTGGAAGGTGTATCTGCAGTACAGGATATGAAGAAATCGATGGTTCTTGTCATGGTAAGAAAGATGCACTCAAATAATTTATCATGCATTTAAATGATGTTTTAAAGAGGAAAATTTGTTTTACATTCATTTTCAAGTAATACATTTTCAAATGAAATTACTGGCAGAATTGATTGTGGAAGAAATTATTAACTATAAGATAGTTTCTTATTATTTTTTTCTCCTAGGAAGTGTGTATAAACATGTAAAATAAATTCTATACCATGACAAGCAATTCTTCCATATTGACTTCATAAAGTAGTTAAGCCATATGAATGGCTGTATTCACCTAGTTTTTAAAAAGTAAAGCAAAATTAATAACAGCAACAAAAAACAAAAGGGATTCAAAATGGACGTTTGCTCAACTTTCATGTTTGATAACTTAGAATGTGGCATTTAAAGATAGTTTGAAAATAATTCTCCTTCATGTTGAATTGTAGTAATTGAATAGTTCCTAGGTAAGATAAAGTTATATTTAAATAAGTGAGGAATTCACATATATGTTTCAAAAACATACATGATAATTTATGCAGGTGTTACATGTTTGGTGATTGAATACTGACTATGTCAGAGCTTAATTTATCTTCTGCTACTATTTTTAAGATTTATTTATTTGAGGGAGAGAGTGCACACGTGTGCACACACCCACACACATCCACACATGCATGCGTGCACGCCCTGGCAGGGAGGGGCAAAGTGAGAGGGGAAACAGTTAGGAGCCTGAGCTAATGACCTGACCTGATGGGAAACTAAGAGTAGATCAGGAAACTAAGGGTAAATCTCTTCACAGACTGTGCCATCCAGTAGCACCCCTATCTTGTGCTACTATTTAATACAATTTCTCACCACGTTACAAATTACCTTTTAGTTGTTGTAATAGTAGTATTTGTGTAAGATTTTTTAGGAAATATTAATACAACACAATGCTAACTATGTTTAGAACCATCTCTTTCACAATGATATGATAACAATATAATTTTTAAGATGGAAGATTTTTTTCTTTATATGTGATGCATTTTGTGAAAGCTTGTTAATCTAATAAATTTATACATTTAAAAATTTTACATAGAGATAATATACATCAATTGTGTTTGGATTGAGACTTGTAATCAAAACACAAATATAGAAATAAAATTATGGCTTGATAAATAGTAACATAATACAGATATTTCCTTCTTAATGGTAGTTGATTTAGAAGTTTGTTTTCTGTAGCACTATGTTGAATTTATTTACTTCTTTGTTGGTGATATATTCATGTTCTTTAAAAAAGATGAGAATAAACAAGAAAAAAACATACTTGTATACATATAAGGGTCATGGAAAATATATGTGAATTTTTTAAGGTCTTATCTATTTATAAACACTTGCGCTCTTGAATGTTGAGGATTTCACTAGAGTTTCCAATGATGATTGTGTTTGTTTAAAAATATTAATATCTTATATGTGGTATAGTTTTTATAAAGCATGAACCAGCTTTCCTCCCCTGATTTTTAAAAGATGTTTCCCTGAAGCTTATCAATAGATTGAATTCTAAATTTTTATTCACCCTTGACAAGGATTTAGGATGGAATAGTCAGAAATTATTCTTTGAGGGGGTTTTATAGGATGTATCTACACATTGGAAAATAAACTGGAGAAAAATTAATATATGTGAATAGTCAGTGGAATTAAGAGGATAATAAAAGTTAAGGATAAAACATTACACATACTTAACCGTGTAGTTTTACATGTTTTAGATAGAAGCTAGGCATTCATTGATAAAAATAATAAAGATTTTTAAAATATGCAAAGAATTCTCAGAACTTGTATGGTTAGCTTTTATTAACTATTTGTATTTTTATGGTATTAATCATGGAATAAGAGGTAGTGACAGTTATTAATGGCTATATTTTTTCTTAATTAGTATGCTTACTCTGTGAATTGCATTCTTATATGCCTTAAAATTCTTGTATTTGTTGAGTAAGGATGATTTTGGACAAACGGTAATCATTATCAGCTTATGTAGAGCTACTGGTAGACTCATCTACTTTATGGCTTGTTATCTTTATTTTAATTTATTTGATTCTAGAAATATGAGAGAGTGGATATAATACAAATGTTCATCATCTCCTTGTAGTGGATAGCAGAATTTGGAAGAATCAAGCTTGAATTCTAAATCTATGGCTTATTAGCTTTGAAAGCATAGTTTCCTTATCCATAAATAATGTAGTGGTATTAGTCAACTCATGATAAAGTATATGGAGAACTAATAAAAACACGTGAATATGCTTAGTTCCAATTGAATACAATAAATTACTGTTTACAAACACAGGGGAAGCCAGAGTGAATGTTAGACACCTCATTTTTAGAAAGACGTATTTTATACTACCACCAGTCTCCATTTCAGAGTACTTACTTAAGTGTCTGCTTTTGACATTTTGTATTATTCCTTTATTTCCTTTGATAATATTTTTTATCAGATTCTATCACCATCCGTCAACAACTTATTTCATAACCAAATCTCTGAATTACATGTAAGCTAAATGGCAAATTGATTGGAACTTATGTGAATAAAATCATATGTCAAATAGCATACGGTCACATGTATAATGTGAGATATGTGCGTGTATATGTGTGTATGTATATATAATATGTATATATTATATATAATTGAAGAAGAAAAAACAGTGTTTTTCTATCATTTCTTTTGTTCTGTTTTGTTAGAACATTTCATTTAGTTGAGTTCTTAACATTTTTGAGTACCTATTAATCTGTTAATCACCTTGGTAGGTAGTAGAGATAAATATAAATGAATCTTATGTTTTATTTATCTGTTGTTATTGAGATAAAATAACCCAAACTTACTAGCTTAAAACCACACCAATTTATGATTTCTCAGGGCTCAACTGGGCAGTTCTTTTGCTTTAGGGTAAGCAAAGGTCACTAATGCAGCTGAATTCAGCCGTGAGGCTGGAATGTCAGAATGACCTCTCATCTTCCAGAGTTTATTTGTATGTGGTGTCTCATCATTTAAGAATCTGGTCTAATATTTTTTTTCCTATTTCATTTTTTTAACCCTTTATTTTTTTAAATAATAAATTTATTTTTTATTGGTGTTAGGTCTAAGATTTTTTTATAGTGCAGTAGCTGCCTTAGGAGGGAGTTTTCCACATGGCCAGGTAGAGTGAGTATATGAGGGGGTACTATACAAGGGGGTGAATTCCTGGAAGTTTGTTTAGGGGGAGCTGCCAGTGTGACAGTATGCCACAGTCCACTCTGGATTTTCATGATTCAAGTCCTTCCTTCAGGCACAAAACCCCACATCTTCCCATTTATTCCATTATGCATTGTGTTGACGTCCAGAAGAGTACCATTTAAAATTAGCTCAGGATGTAAATGAAGCCTCATAGCTCAAGTTCCTCTTGACCTGGAAAACTAAGAACTAAACAGATAAGTTATCGTTCCTCACACACACCATACACATGGGATACAGACAGGGTAATTGTAAAAGATTCTCCCCTTCCTAAGGGCTGGGAACACAGCAGTGCCTGGTCCATTGTGAGTCTGAAATCCAGCTGGATGTTGTCAGGATCTCTTATAGTAAGGCAGGGAGTGTGCTTTGCATCCCACATCTACTACCTTGGATTGGATCTCTGTGGTTATTGGGTGGGTGCTCTGAGTTGTCCCATTTCTTTCTTCCTTCCTTCCCTCCATCTTCCCCTCCTCTTTCTTTCTCTTCTCTTTCTCTTTCTCTTTCTTTCTCTTTCTCTTTCTCTTTCTCTTTCTCTTTCTCTTTCTCTTTCTCTTTCTCTTTCTTTCTCTTTCTCTTCTCTTTCTTTTCTCTCTCTCTCTCTTTCTTTCTTTCTCTCTCTCTTTCTTTCTTTCTCTCTCTTTCTTCTTCTTTCTTTCTTTCTTTCTTTCTTTCTTTCTTTCTTTCTTTCTTCTATCTCTTTTCAGCCTCCTTATTTATAAAATTATGTATATGTCTGTTTCACCAGGGCTGTCAGATAAAGGAGGAGTATTTTAAAAACATATATGTAATTCAGGGTAAAAAATTTATTGATATGAGTCATCATAAGGCACCAAGCCTTATGTACAAGAGAGAACCAAGCTCTACTTGTACTTACAGGCGGACACTATTGATATACCTACAGAGTGCTCTGTAGTGCTTTGTTTCTTCTCCTTTCTGTGAAATAGTAAAGTTTTCTTCAGGAAAGATTGCAGTAGATCAGATCTAGTTGCTTTAGATCTGAAAAGCCATACGAATTATCTTACCTGCGGCACCTTGGTGGCTCAGTTGATGAGCATCTGTCTTCAGCTCAGGTCATGATCCCAGGGGTTCTGGGATTGAGCCCCCATGTAATCCCTGCTCAGCGGGGAGCCTGCTTGCTTCTCCCCCTCCCTCCCCCTGCTTGTGCTCTCTCACTTGATTTCTCTTTCTCTCTCAAATAAATATATAAAATAGTTTTAAAAATATCTTTCTCCCTCATTTTATAAATCAGGATGCTAAATTACTGAGAACAGAATTTTATTCCCTGAGGCCACTCAGTAATTGATACCAGACCAAGAAGTAAAGCCTCAGTATTTCTCAGTCTGGTCTTTGTGTTTTCCTTCCCTATTTCTATCCCCTCCTCTGTTTCTCCATTTTTTCATTCTTCCTGTTTCTCATTCATTTCCTTATCTCACTGCCTATCCACTAGTTCCAAGGAGCACTAAGTTCTTCATCAAATGAATTCATCATTCATTTTGTTCTTGCTTATTCTTTGGAATCTGATATGAACACAATTTATAACAGTATCTACATATCTGTTCTGAAATTCCAACTAACTGGGAATAATGGAAAAATATATGGACTTTTCTGAACTTTGATGTAAGATATGATAGAAAATATTATGACGAGGTTTTAGGGATTTTGATAATTTACTTGAATGGATTTGAGAACTCTTGATCTGCTATATAACAAGAACACAATAAACAAAATATACAATAAATTCTAGTGAAATAGAATTAAACTATATTTACCCATACTATCAATG